TATGTTATTTTCTGTTTCCACATCCCGAGCTATGTTTTACTAACTTCAAACAAGAAATCCTCACTCGAGTTCATTCCTATTTAATATCAATCCGAGAGATGATCAAACAATCAGAAACATTTAATATAATAAAACATAAACGAAATTAAAATACGACAAAAGAATGTACACAAGAAATAAAGAACAAACCGTAAAGAAATTGCGTAAGAAAAACCCAAGTCAAAACACCCGTTGACGATTCCCGCGAAGAACTGTCGGAAACCGTAAAAAGTCGAAGAAGAATGAAGAATGGGGGGTTTGTCTTGGGTGTATTAGGAAGAAAATTGTCCGTCTTTCGTACGCGCGCTTTCAGGAGTGGTGGCGCTACGAAAGTGAGTGGTGGTTGGGCGGTGGGGATCCGAGCTTGGGAAGACTCTTAGTCGGGGATGCCGGGCCGGGAGCCGGCGGGTCGGGGGATGCCGGGTCGGGAGCCGACGGGCCGGGAGCCGGCGGGTCGGGGGATGCCGGGTCGAGAGCCGACGGGCCGGGAGCCGGCGGGTCGGGGGATGCCGGGTCGGGAGCCAACGGGCCGGGAGCCGGCGGGTCGGGAGCCGGCGGGTCGGGGGATGCCGGGTCGGGAGCCGCCGGGCCGGGTTCCGGGTAAACGGGGCGACGGCTGACCCGGGTTTGCGGCTTCGGGTGACATCAAACCGTATGAGCGAGCCGTCGGGTAATTGGGATGGACTTGGACAAAATTCTCCTGTCTTTTGTACGGGTCCGTCGGCGTTGGGTGTGGGTGATTTTGGAAAGACTTAGCCAAAATTCGCCCGTGTTTTGTACGGCTGCGTCGGCATTGGTAATGGAAGACGGGATAATGGGGTATTAATGGAGTGTTTAGACACCAACTCCTCTCCTATCTCTTTATCTCTACCTTTTTTTTTTTTTTTTTTTTTTTTTTTTTTTTATAAATGCCGACGGCTAATTTGCCGGCCATTACGCCAATGGTCGATTTTCTTTCCGAAAATATCAATGGCAAGAAGCCTTTCTCTCGCAAATAATGAGTTATAATCTGTCTTTTTTGGGTAAGACGATATCTCATGGTTATTGCATGGTGGGAAGTCCGACTTTCGTAACGGATGAGCTACGCTTTATCTTTTTAAGCATGGCGGTATCCCTTGGCTTAGCCTAGTGGGAAATGCACTTTTTGCGAAGAATGAGTTTAGCTTTATTTTTTAAGGCGATGCCGTACCCCTTGGCTTTTTGCCTATTGGGAGGTCCGACTCTCGCAAAGAATAAGCTAAGCTTTATCTTTTAAGGCGATGCCGTATCCCTTGGCCTTTTGCCTATTGGGAAGTCCGACTCTCGCAAAGAATAAGCTAAGCTTTATCTTTTAAGACGATGTGGTATCCCTTGGCTTTTTGCCTAGTGGGAAGTCCGACATTCGTTAAGGGTGAGCTATGCTTCATCTTTTTAAGAAAGGCGGTATCCCTTGGCTTAGCCTAGTGGGAAATGCACTTTTTGCGAAGAATGAGTTTAGCTTTATTTTTTAAGGCGATGCCGTATCCCTTGGCTGTTTGCCTATTGGGAAGTCCGACTCCCGCAAAGAATTAGCTAAGCTTTATCTTTTAAGACGATGTGGTATCCCTTGGCTTTTTGCCTAGTGGGAAGTCCGACATTCGTAAAGGATGAGCTATGCTCTATCTTTTTAAGCAAGGCGGTATCCCTTGGCTATAGCCTAGTGGGAAGTCCGTCTTTTTATTTTCTCTTGGTGTTTCAGGGAACGAAATTCCAATTTCGATATGTTATCACGTATGTAAATTGTAGTTTTACGGGTAGTGGGTTGAAAGGTAACGAAAGTGATCAGCAGATACATAAAAATAATGAGTAATTAGATAAAGGTTCGGCGGGAAGTATGCCCCTGATTAAAACATTCAATTATCATTGTAGCTGACAGTACATAATATATTGCGGTGACCGACATGCCCCCGGCTTGTTTTTGAAAGCTCTTAAGATCTTCAAGTTTTTTGCCCTTAGCGCCTATTCATGTGTTGTGGCGCTATCCTTTTGATGGCTATGCGGCGTGAGCGTTAGGTTAGGTGAGCGTTGGGCGCATTTCTTGTCTATCTCTCGTCTCAGGGTGCGTCTCCTCGTGCTTTCCCCTCGCGGGCAAACCCATCTCCGCAATCTCCTCAATGCGAATGTACTTCTCGGCCCGACCGATGAGCTCATCCAATGTCGAGGGGGGTCGGCCCGCAAGGGACTCTCGAAACCGTTCATGCCTCAAGTTGCTCATCAAGATCCCCGCCAAGAACTCGTGGTTTACGTGGCATACTTCATGCACCGCACCAAAGAAGTGTTGCATATAATCTCTGAGCGCCTCGTTTTCTTGCTGGACGACCT